ATGGCCACTCACGTCTTCTTGTGTATAAGTCTGTGTGCAATAATAAAACTATAACTAAAACTCAGACTAAACATTTATGTAGTCCATCTGATGGTAAGAGAGAAAGCCCAGCTGAAAACTGAAGAACATTTGTGAAAACTGCGGTATCTGATGTGTATGAGTGCTGAAGAAGACTCAGGAGGCAGGCAGAATTTCAGCGGAGCTCTGGGTTCACTTTTATTTCTCAGCCGCTGTTCAGGGTATTGTCAAAAATTCAACAAAAAAAAGCAATCTAACAGAAATGCAACCCAAAAGAGGCAGTCACTAGCTCACAGTTTTTGCCTTGTTCAGGGTCAAGATTAAGCTCTTTGTGTGTGTGTGTGTGTGTGTGTGTGTGGGTGTGTGTGTGTAGGTGTGTGTGTGTGTGTGTGTGTGTGAGTTGCAAGCTCTGCCAACTAAGCCACTCTATTCTCTCTCTCTCTCTCTCTCTCTCTCTCTCTCTCTCTCTCTCTCTCCCTCTCTCTCTCTCAATACAGTTTGTGTTTCATCCTGCCCAACTCTTTCCCCTTCAAACGCTTGACTGTCTTTTTGACTGTCGTCTTGACTATCAACAAAAATAAGCGAGCCAGCCTCTGTCAGTGCAATTTAAAAAAAGAAAAAAAAAAGTGATAGAGTAAAAGCCCATAGCGGCTTGAGAATCTGCATAAATGACAGCTAAAACACTTTAGCAATCATTATATTTCTCTCTATGTAACTATCAACCAAGTTTCCTAACATGACTGTGGATATAATACTTATGTAATACTTCGGCTCTGTTATATTTATGTTGGGAACTCGCTTTCGAGTGGATAAAAGGCAGAAACTCGTTTTTGAGTGGATAAAAGCTAGAAACCTTCTCCATGTCCCGAAACAAAATGTAGCCAGTTTGAATTGGAACACCATCCCCCTTTAAAATTCACTCCCTGCACTCAGTACCCCCACGTTCCTCTATGTCCAGCTCTGTAGCAGTCCCCTGACTTTAAACCCATAGAAAACCTGTGGGGTGAACTGAAGACCTTGAAATGTGAAGGATCTGGAGAGATGCTGTATGGAGGAATGGTCTCAGATAATTTGTCATGTATTCTCCAACCTCATCAGGCATTATAGGAGAAAACTCAGAACTGTTATCTTGACAAAGGGACATAGCACAAAATATTGACTAAAAGGGTGCCAATAATTGTTGCACACTTATATTTAACAAATATTATTTGTATAAACCTGTGTTTTGTTTGCAAATGTTTGACATCCATGACAGCAGAATAATGTTTTTTTTTTTGTTTTTTTTTTAGAATTTTTTGAAACAAAACAATAAGGAAAAATTTTCACAGCCTTCTTTGCTCGTATTTAGCAAGGGTGCCAATATTAATGGAGGGCGCTGTATGTTTAGAAAACAGTGCTGTTGAATACTCAACTCTGACGAGACAAGGTGTGGAGAAGGCATTGCTACCAAATGCTCCACATAAACAGATTCAAAAAGAAATGTGTAATTGTTGACCTGGTGAAGTTCTCTGTGAGGAGATGTTTATTTTACATTTATGGAAGGAGTCTCCAGTGTCAGTGCTTCAGAAGTAAAGCTGTAACGTTAAGTTTCCCTACATCTTTAGGATAGTTTACAAATCTCTTGCTAACATGACAAGCTGAGTATTTTCGTCTTATTATGTTCAAAAAAGAGAAATTGAGAGAAATATATATTTTTTAGTAAATCACCAGAATGTACTATTGTTATAAACAAACCACTATTGTTTAGTCCATCATTTATCCAACTGTTTAATAAATTACAAGATTAAAAAATGTATAAACTTGAGGTTTGGGTCTCCTTTAAAATGAAAAAACGGCTTTGCATACCTGCATATATAGGGATTTTACTTTTACCAAATATCAATTCTTTGAATATGTAACAACCTTCATTTTTAATAAACAAAGGAATTAATTGACTTGCTTTTAATCATGCCTTTTTTTTTTTTTTTAATCTTCCCTTCAGAAACCTTGTAAAAAAAATTTTTATAAAGTTACCTGAGACTGACCAATACACATTTTGAATAGTTAAATATGTCTGTTATTAGATTAGATTTTAGTGTTGAAAAATGAATTTTGGAAAAAAAAAAAAAGTTTCCTTTTGGAAGAGCTACAGCAAGCAAATACGGCACCCATACGGTAGAATGGCCCATAGTACTTTTAAAAATGGTCACACAGCAGCTTTACAAAAAGATATCAATTCAGGATATACATTTTTAATTTATGAACGTATCCCTAATGAGCAAGCCAGAGGCGACGTTGGTGATTAGACACTCCATGACACAATATGAAGAACAAACCTTGTGAGGAACCAGACCGAAAGGGAACCCATCCTCAACTGGGTGACACCAGATGTAACGGTATACTACACGGTCAAACAGTGCAAATGTCTAAGCAGGAAATTCTGTTTTGTTGTCAGTTGAGTGCAAAACTGAATGAATGACCTTGATTTGTCCTAAAATTTCGACTTCTGAATTTGTCGTAAAAGAGTGCCATTGGTATTTCATCTTAAACATGGTGGACATTTTAAACCGTTAAAATAGTCCTGTATGCACCAGGTTCACAGTTCAGAGCCTGGTGACTGCAACACTTTTAGCCGTGCATGACAGATTAGAATTCTGCTTCAGAAACTATTCAGCAGCCCTGCCTCTTTCTCTGATGTAGTGTGTGACGGAGGGTCCTCGCATCGAGTGTTTACTCTCATTTGAAACACTAACAGGGAATGAATGTGTCCCATTTGCCCAGTGTCGAGACTGATGTGGCTGTGCTCATGGCACTCACAGCTCATGATGGACCATCTGCTACTCATATTCATCATCCATACATGGCTTGAACAGCATGACGTGGCTAATGAATAGCAGCAAGACCTGTGAGTGTATGTGTTGTCGGAGTGAAAATAAGAACTTATACTAACAAGCAAGCTTGGGTATGACATAATGAATATCATCACACACAATGCAAGCTAATTAGCATAAAGTCAAGCGATCCGAAGTGATAATCCTTCATTCGGCAGTCGATGCACACACACTCCTGGTGCATACCGCTGTGCTCTAATGAATGGATGGGCCAGTGGACGGCTCTGGCTAGGGTGTTGGAAAACAGCACTGGGTGAATGTTTACACGTGTGCAGGGTCAACTTCACTTTCACTGCTGCGCACGGAGTGACCCACTCTGCCCTCGGTCTAACATCGTTGTTCATTACCATGCGAAGAGCATATAGAGTCCACGGTAGTCATGTTAGCAAAGTTACTGCTCCAGAATACCTGGACGAAACCCCAGAAGCATGGTGAGAGCATGCAAACTCTGCGAGGCAGACATGCTAACTAGTAAACCACCGTGACCCCTCCTATTGAATCCAGTCTTCGTTTTTATGGTTCATTTAGATTTCATGTCTTTTTAACCAAATTAACCGCACCAAAATGATGGTACAACTGGTAGATGGAAACAGTTACTAAATTAATGCTTCTATATACTGTAACATCATACTAGACCAGTTGTTTTAAAGAAAATAACAACAGTAAGACGATTAGAAAATCTCTCAGATATTTTCAGATAAGATTAATCCAATAATTATGGAGCTGGAAAATAACTTACCAGGTTGTCCAGCTCGGCAGCTGGTAGCTAGTCAGACCCAGCTGAAATTTTAAGCATGATAGCTTGTCATTTTTCATTACATTTACATTTATTCACTTAGCAGACGCTTTTATCCAAAGCGACTTACAAATAAGCAAAGCGATATATCAAGCAGGGAACAATACAAGTAGTGCTACTATACAAGATCCATTAATTGAAAACCAGAGAAAGCAAAGTGCACAGAGTAGAGGTGTAAGTGCGTTGTGTGCGGGTTTTTTTTTGTTCTTAGAAGTTGATTAGGTGTTCACGGAAAAGGTGGGTCTTTAGCTGTTTTTTGAAGATGGATCAGAGATTCTGCGGTCCGGATTGAGATCGGAAGTGCATTCCACCACTGGGGAACGGTAAGCGTGAAGGTTCTGGAAAGGGACTTTACGCCACGCTGAGTGGGAACTACTAAACATCGGTCGCTAGTCGATCGTAAATTGCGAGAGGGAATGTATGCCTTCAGGAGAGAGTTCATCTAAATTTAGGTGGGGCGGGGTTTTGTGGAAATGGAGAAGGTCAGAAAAACAGCAACACTGAGAATGAGAGACAAGACCAAAGCAATATTAGAGTACAAAGGCAAAAGTGAGAAATTCTGAACACAGGTTGAGTTGAAAACGACACAAGAGTACAATTACTGCAATAAATGTGGCATCAAGCTTGAGATTTACAAGAACGAGTTATTGAAGAGGTTCCTCAAAGGCTACTTCAATCCCTCTCTGAAAGAGAAACCCTCACATCATAGCACCTTTAATGTGCGACCAAAGACCATTTAGAGTGTTAGAGTTCACCTTTTTAAATAAAGTGTCAAGTCTTATCATGACTAGGCTGCTTTTACACTGTTTTAAGAAAAAAAAGCATTGACCAGAGCATCCATTTTCTGTACCGATTATCCTACACGGGGTTGCAGGGAGCCAAGAGCCTGAAGGAAATTTGGGTCATATTTGGGTCACATTCGGTCGGAGGATACCCTGGATGGGGTGCCAATCCATGACAGGGCATAATTGCAATTTGGACAATTTGGAAATGCCAATCAGCCTACAATGCATGACTTTGTACTGGGAGAGGAAACCTTCGAAGCAGGTGTGTGTGGCAAATGTGCTAACCACTGTGCCCCATATGCATCCATCCATCCAACTTCAATCGCTTATTCCTGCTTCAGTGTCACGGGGAACCTGGAGCCTATCCCAGGAGGCATCAGGTACACCCTGGACAGGGTGCCAGTCCATCGCACAATCACATACACACTCACCCATTCATTCACCCATTCATACACTGTCAATCAAACTACCATGCATGCCTTTGGACTGGGGGAGGAAACCAGAGTACCCGGAGGAACATGCAAACTCCTCAAACATGGCCCCAGCGGGAATCGAACCCCGGGCCCTGGAGGTGTGAGGCAAATGTACTAACCACTAAACCACCATGCATGGTGAACCGTATGCAGTTCCAGTTAAAGTGAAATGTCACATTGCATATCAGTCACTGTCCCAAACATTTGCATGCTGTTCGTTTCAGTTACTTTTCAATGTTGGAATATTGACTGTGCTGTAGTATAGTTTCCATTCAACCTGTCATAAATATCCTCATATTTGTTCACTAATAAGTGTACTCTGTCCTCTATGTTAATCTTTCTTACTCGTTCCCCAACTTGCGGCCTGGTCAGGATGTAAAACCGTGCTTGCTTGACGTCATTTGGTGTTCTTTCCAAAATGCAGAGGAAATGGTTCTTTCGAAAGCAGCCCCGCCAGTTTTTTTTCCCCCTCCAAATTACTTCCTGTTTGAACGCATTGCCTACTTTCCAGCAGTTTATTTATCAGATCCTGAGAACACAAATACTGTAGTAAGGTGTAATTCACATAACATATAATCATTCTTTAGATTTCATAAAGATATGGCTTTTGATAAAACACTCAAATACCACATGACCCTGATCCTGACTCTGGTCACTTCATATCCTTTACCAGTCACCCGTCCGTCTCCCGCGGTCTCTCTCAGGCTCGGTTCTGTTAATCACTGCAAGCAGGAGGCAATCAAATGCAGCACAGGAAACCGTGCGGCCTGTTATTGCTGGCAGCCTGTGCCACACTAGTGTTTTAATATTTATTCACTAAGCCCCTCATACCACATAAATCACTTGCACACCGAGGTGAAGTACGGACGTATACTCCATTACACCAACCACTAACAGCCTTTGACTTTTTCCAAAGCTAAATACTTTGTAAGGAATGGCAGGATTGATGCTATCAGGGCTGCCAGGAAAAAATCTGCTTGGCAAATCACGTACGAGCTAATAGGTGCACGGCCATCAAGGAAAAAGGAAAGGGAAGTGTTTTCACTTTCTGCTTAGATATGGATGGCTTAAGCCTCTATCATTCTGAATGCCTTATTTCAGCTGACTGCTTACTCATGCATACTGTAAAACATTTGATACAATCTGATGTCATTTGAAGACCTAATGCGTATATGGATATTATGGATTTGCCCACAATTCATTTTAGGAAATCCAATTCATCTCAGATTAATATAGTGAGTGCCTTTGGGTCAGATGTAATGGTACAGAAGTCCCTAAGTGCAGTTGTAAGTATGGCGAAGAGCTGAAACCGACCTCACTGATTAGATAAATCTCATCTCTCAGTTTCTCATCTCACTCTCTCTCTCTATTTTTTTTTTTCCAGGTCAACTGAACCACCACCAATCATCATTCCACAGAGTCACTCCAAACAATTTCCTACCCTCAAACCCCACAGGATTGAGACACTCCATTCCTATCACAGGGAAGGCTGATCTATCTCCTAACTGAGATGGCATGTTTATGGCTGAAACTTTCACTGGGAGAAAACGATGAGTCCAAGCACGGTCGGAAAATCTTTGCTTTAGAACCATCAAGGATTGGTTTTCAAGCCAAGATGTTCTCAAATGTTGAAAGAAAATTCCTTGTGATACTGAAAACATATGCTATCTAAATCAATTTAACCAACAATAAATTCGAGAAATGTGTATCCTCAACTAGGGGTGGGTGAAATATATTGTATATATTCTATAACAAGACATGATGTGTATCCTGGGCTCCTGTTCTTCATAAATCGCTTAACAAATCCAAGATGAGAGGATGTATGCCAGATTTACTAATCATGATAACTCCAAACAGGCTAATTTGCTTTTTCAAACACACTTGATTGAGTTGTTTTAGATAACGCTGTGCTTTGGTCTTTTTTTTTTTTGTGTCACAATTTCTTGCACAAAAGTTTAACGTGGATATGGGGTACATAATCTAGGTTAGGAAAGCATAGCTCAATAAAACAAAATGTTGTTTTTGTTGTTTTGTGTATTTTAAACATTTATGCAACAGTCTTCTTTCTAAAGGTGGGTGCCAGTGGCAATATGTCTGACATCCCCACATTAACACTTTCATTAAAATGTCTCTCAATACACATAAATCCATAGCATAGCTGTGAACTTTACCTAACCCATAAGCTGCTTGTTCTAATTGTAAGCATTTTTCTTCAAGTGAGAGCACAAATGAACTGAAATATGGAAAGCTTTAATTAATTCAAGGTCTCCCAACAATGATAACATGACCTCAATTTACTCATTGCAAAATATACTTAGTATATTATATCGTTAATAAAAAAATCACATTATTTTGCCGGTGTACTGTCTATTGTTACTAAATGCAACATCTAATCTTGTCAATGTTAAATAAGCTGCTAGATGCTAGAGTTTACAGATTTTTTGTCTTGGTAACTAGAATGGACACATACAGGATCACGTCAAATCGTCAATAATCCAAACCAACAGGTCCACAGTGTCAGATTTTTCTAGAAAAAGTGCAGGAAAAACAGAAGTGATAATTTAATAGGCATTTAATATAACAACAAATTGTCTACCTGATTAGAATGGTTTGGGACTATCCAGTGCCCCTTGTATTGCTTTGTATTTTAAGATTTTAGTGTAATATTGTGATTAATTGTAACTGTTACTAGCAATAATTCTAATTAAAAAACAACTGAATCCATTTGTCTAAACCATTTCAATAAAAATGCCTGAGTTTTGTCCTAAATTTCTACAATTGCTACACAGTTCATTATAATTAGTCAGATTTAAATTTGAGGCCCAGATGTATGAACATCAGGAGGTGTAGGTCAAAATGCATGTTGATGTGCTTTAGGTCATTGACTACAGCTTCCATAAAATTTGAAAAAAATGGGCTTTAGAAATGTCACAAAGGTCCTGTTTAATCTGAAAAGAAAGGCAGTGAAGCAAAGATGCTTTCAAAATGAACAGAACAAAACATTTCTACATAAAAATACTATCAAGAGCAGTAAACAATGATAAACTAAACCAAGTCAATATTTGATGGGACAACTCATTGCTTTAAAGAAAATAGTAGTCTCAGGTATAATTTGTGTTTTATAATGAAATTAGCTGGTACATTACATTTTACTGAGCATCTGGGTGGGAGAATCTGCCACAGTCCTTCTGGAGACATTTTGCTGTAATATTGAATTTCTTGTTGGGAAAAAAATTAATGTTTGGAAATCTAAAAGATTTTTGTAATGATTGAATAACAGAGAATTAAAAATAAATAAACATCTATAATAAAATTTGTACCAAAAATATGGTGCCTAAGACTTTTGCACAGTACTGTATGTATCTGTAAATTATGCGCTATGTCTAAATCAAATCTGCTTGACAAGCAATCATTAAACATGTCTTGCACCTGATTTTATATTTTTTTGTTTGTGCATGTGCCTGGCAAATCGTGCAGTTTGCAGAAATGATGTTAGGTGCAATCGGTTAAACGTGATTTGTTAATAAATGATGAACCCGCTAGTCTTGCGACGCTATTGGTCATTTCACCTCATCTCTTTCGGGTGAAGAGAAATCAATACAGATGTGGGAAGAATGGACAAGAAGTAAGAGGAGCAGAGAGTGAAAGGGCACAAAAAAACAAAAGCCCTTCAAAAGGATGCTGCAAAATGCCAGACATTTTTAAACAAACTTCTCAGGTCAGCCAACACGTAGTTAACATTATCTAATAAGGCTGTATTAACCTAACGTGTTAGTAGTGTAGGTCCTGTTAGAAATGCACAAAAGTCAAAGTAAAATTACTTTTACTTGCAATAATTACTTTCACAATAATGACTCTGTCTGGCTCCAACTACCATACAAAGTAATCAAAGTCACTGCGGTGACATTTTTACCACATTCTGATGGTTGAGTTTAACATTAACTGAAACCATTGACCCATGCCCAGAGCTTAATTTGAGCAGGATCCCTCCGGACAGGATCCGGCACCTCTAAAATATAGCACACCGGCATTCCGGAATGTTTTTATGTGGATCCAGCAACTCTGCAGATGGCTGCAGAAGTGGCTTATTGGTTAAGGCTCTGGGTTAATATTCAGAAGGTTGGGGGCTCAAGCCCCAGCACTGCCAAGCTACCACGGTTGGGCCCTTGAGCAAGGCCCTTAACGCTCTCTGCTCCACGGGATGCTGTATCATGACTGACCCCAGCTTCCTTACATGCTGTAGTATACTTATGTATAAGTGCTGTAATGTATATGTGAGCAATAAAGACTCGTTATGTAAAGTCTCCTGCAGCAATATTATCAAAACAAATAGTTTTAGTTTTTAATTCACCAAAAGTAAAATAGAATAAAAGAGAAAACTTAACATCACACATAACAATCATTTCAAGTTCAAAGTTCACCTGAATTTGTTGTCACGAAGCTTACAGTCACATAGCATGATGCTTTCTTTACTGTCTCTCTCATATATATATATATATATATGTTAATGTTTGAAAATATAAAAGGATTTTATACCGATTTTATAATGCCAAATTATTGAGGCCATGGTAACTAAATGAATGAATGAAAATCATTATGTTAAATTATTCAAATAATGAACTAATTGGATAATTGCCTGAATGAGCAGGTGTACAGGTGTTCCTAAAATGTCTGCTGAGTATGTGTTTACTGCATTCTATATGCATACTGTTGAGATTCAGCAGGAGGTTTGGTGTATCTCAAACTCTTGACTGTTGTGGACAATCGGTTCATGGCAAAATCGATATAGAATTCTAATGAATTTGATTCGTTTGGTTTGAAAAGCAGCAGATATTGCTCTATTGATAAGTGTTCAGGAAAACATGCTACATAGGATATTGCCATGCATCGGCACTGAGCCACAGGTAACACCGTGCAGGCTGTCTAACCCTCAGCTGGTTGATTCATTACACCAGTTAGACGGGTGTAAATAATAGATGATATGTCGGATCTCCGTGTGCGATGCTCCGAGGCTTGCACAGGCAGCATATGCCTGACAGATGGCCGCTGTAAATCATTTACACCTTATAATATTTTGTAATGTTACATCAGCTTGAGCTTTCTATCAAAGGACTAGAAACAATAGGATGTAACCTC